CCCCCGGGCCCTCCGCGAAGGGGGGGGGGGAGAAAAGCAGCGTGCGGGGGGGGGGGGGGGCATACTAGCTGCGCCCCCCACCCCCAACCCAGCAGACCAGGAAGACACGGGCGGCAGACCGAGACGCACCGCGGTCCCGCCTCCTGGGTCCTCCGCGGCCTGGCTACCACTTTTTTCCAGCTTGGAGCTTTGCCGGAAAAAAGCGCCAGTCTAGACGCGGATCTTTTGGAAAATAAAGCCTTTTCCAAAAGATCCCTTATTTTAAGAGGGAAAGTTTTCCGTTAAAAGCATTTGCGGAAAATCATGCCAGTCTAGACGTAGCCTAGTTGTGCATCTTGTGTGAGAAGGTGAATTCTTTTAAAAACTCATTCATTACCTGGAATGCACAACAATGGCACTGTTGCTTATTAGTGCCAGATGTGCATGTAGAAAATACATACATGGGCGTTGGGCATGTACAAAAGCCCCTTTCAGAGTTATATCATGGCTGTTGTAAAAAACATGTTCAACAAATGAATCCCTAACTGTTTCTCCTGACTGTTCTGGCTGTAGGCTTTTCTCATCACAGGTATTACTGGTTTGAAACAAAAAACATCTTAAGGCCCACTGCCAAGTTGGTTGTGCTTTTAGTTATTATATATGAGTTGCTACTAACATCAATATAGGTGATTAAAAGTTAATTACATTGCAAAACAGTCCACTTTTCACCATTTAGGTTCTCTGTTTTCCTGTTTTACATTTCAAATTAAAACAGACTACTCAGTTCCCTTTGTTTTTGCTCAGTTCCTCTTTCTAGCACAAGGTTTCTAGTTTAAATGTTTGGGTTGCAAACAAAGCAAGCTTATTCCCCTCCCCCACATCTTTTTCCCTCCTGCTCACCCCCCTTCCAGCACTTGGTGCATCCAAGTCAGTTTTCCAGTGTGGGTGCAGAAGTCAGGCTGAAGGGGGCAGAGTGCAGGGTTGAGGACACAGGCAGGAAGGGCAGGGGTTGAGGTGAGGATGGCACTGTGCAGAGATTAAGGGGGCACAGTGTAGGAGTTAGGGTGCAGGAAGGGAACAGGGGCTGGGGAGCCTAGGGGGGCCAGGGGAAATAAGGAAGCACCATGCCCACAAGGGCACCAACAAACAAGTTTGCCCAGGGCACCTAGGGCCAGCCCTGCCTACCTGTGCAGTCAGTACATCCTCTGCACCAGGGGGGAAATGGGAAAGAAGATGGAGAAGAACCAGTGCTCTGCCTACAGAAGCAATGCTGTGAGAATTCTCCCCAGGCCCCAGAGTACTGGAATGGTTGCAGAGCTAATAATAAACATAGTACAATGATGGCTCTTTTTTGGCTTTATATTGAGTGCTATGTTTGGAAGCTTTAGCCTGGCTAACTCTTGTCTTTAACTTTGAAACAAACGCTGAGCTCCTCTTGCACCCAGGGAATAACACCACCACATGCACACATTTTCCAGGCACATTGTAGCAAAATAGTTTCTTTGCAGATGTGTGGCTTGTTTACCACGGTCTTTTTCCATTCCCACGTGTGTCAGGATGAATGGGTGTCAGCCTGACCTAAAATGAATACAGAAAAGACAAGATGTCTTTTTAAATATCTGGCAAGAGATAGCAAGGAACAGACAACCAGTCCTTGAGTTATCCCTTGGTCCGAGTTAAAAATACGCTGTAACTATCACATAACATGTTATCTCTGAACCCAAACAGTTAGCAGGAACCTGTTTTTCAATCTGAACTATGTTGAGAACATCTGTGAATCACAGGATGAAGTGACATTTCACCCAAGGTAAACAAAATAAAGATTTTAAACACAAGGGCTGCATCTAGACTGGCATGATTTTGCGCAAATATTTTTAACGGAAAAGTTTTTCCGTTAGAAGTATTTGCACAAGATTGCGTCTATACTGGCATGTGCCTTTGCGCAAAAGCACCCATGCCAGTGTAGACGCTCTCTTGTGCGAGAAAGCTCCAATGGCCATTTTAGCCATCGGGCTTTCTTGCGC